CTTCAATCTAGCGTTGACTTGTTCTCGGGATTGTTGATAGTATCGTTAGACTCGATAACGCCACCGCCGCGCATCTCGATCTGGTCGTCTCGTACATCCGACCGGCAGTGTACCCTCCAGGGTCGATCTCGGATCCCACCCATGAACCAAAAAGTGGGGGTATCTCCTCGGATCCGATCATGAGCCGTATTGATCGCGAAGGTGAGGCGCTCAGCATATTCGTCCCAATCCTTCTGATCCAGATCGCGAACGTACATCTTGAGCGCTCTGGTCGCGGTCTGCACCATTCTCTCAGCAGTCCCGTTGGCCTGTGGACGGTATGCCATCGTCGCCCGCTGCCGCTGTCCCAAAATCTTGTTAAACGCCCGGAAGAAATCAGACATGAAGCCGGGTTCTTGATCATGCCGGATCATCTCACTGGCACCAACTCGCCGAAACACACACTCTTCATACGATTCTGCAACCGTCCGGGCCGATCGAGACGACCTGGCCTTCGCGATCACATACCCCGTGAACAGGTCGACCCAGATCAATAATTCTGTGTTCCCCTTGTGAGATTTGGGTAGAGACGGTATGTGATCCATCGCGATAATCTGGAACGGATACGTCGCCTGCAAGTTTCCGGGTGATTCACCCCGGATCACCGGCTTTCCTTTCCCTGTCTCGCAATCTACGCATTCCCCCACATACCTCTGGACACTTCGGTATAATCCCCTCCAATGGAAGTGATCCCTGATTTGCTGGTAGGTCCGCCCCACTCCTTGATGTCCTCCTTCCAACGTGGCGTGATAGTGGTGTAAAACGTCCGACAGCAGCGTTTCGGGAACTACCAATCTCATCAATCGGTCGCGATCATCTCCCGATCTCGGCGTCGGGGGGGGGGGCAGTAAAAGAGTAGATCCTGCTCGTCCACCTCATACATAGTCAGCCGCGATCTTGCCATACGATCTTGCTTCCGCTTGGGTGAGATCCGCAATCGAACCACTCAGATACTTCTTCATGCCGGCGATCCAGACTTCTTCCTCTTGGGCTTGCTTGATCCTGTCAACTCGGATTTCGCGGATCAGACCCTCATCCATGACACCCGCCGATGATCTTGCCCGACCAGCCCGCGTGGTCACCGCGGCGACTCGAACCACT